GAAAACAGCACTACTGTTTCTCCCTCTTCCATGCACACAGCTCAGCAGTCTACTGACCTCAGCCCCCGTTTCTTTGCCACTCAGTCAAACACCCCAAATACCCGGCGTGGGTTTTACTGCTTTTACCAGCCCAAGGCTGCTGCCGCAAGTTTCCTTTTATGTATTTTGAGTTGCTGCTGTGTTTACCTTTGCAACTTTGCGGGGCGGGGAAAGAAGGCCTTATGGAAACCCACAGGCCTCCTCCTCCTCCTGCCACTCAGTCCCAGCCTCGCTCCTCATACAGTTTGCCTACCTTTCCAGCCAGTCCCAGCCTCCGTCCTGGCCCACCCGGGACTCCTCCCGCCCCCCCAGCCTCAACTTGCCGACCCCACTACGCATGCTCCCCCGGAGGAAGGGCGCTACCGCGGCCCTCCCTGCTCGCCACACGACCACGTCACTCACTCAGAGTTGTCGTCACCCTTAGTGCTCTGACGTCACGGCCCAGAGGTATGACGCGTCCTACCAAACTCACCGCCCAGCACCCACGGGGCTGCTCTGCTCGCTTTTGCTTTTTCCCTTTTGCTGCTCCGCCGCCACTCTCTTCTTAACGAGTCGCCGCCGCCGCCAGCGCTTCCTCCCGGTTCCAGTCGGGATTTAGCGGTTCCAAAAAGCTCGAGAACGCAGCTCCGGCCCCGGGTCTCAGAATTGCGCATGCGCCGCCAGCCGCTGCCAACCAATCAGCGGGAGCGGCCGGGAGAAGCATGCTGGGAAACTTCGATGGGGTGGAAAAAAGCGGCACGCGAGGCGGGAGTCTGGGCTGCACTACAGCTCCCGGCATGCATCACTCCGGGGGGAAACGGGGCGGGGTTAGAGGCAGCCTCGTTGAAACTACAACTCCCAGCATCCTCTCGAATGCGGTCCCGGGCTTCTTGCTGGAGAACAAATCCCGGCTAGTTCCACGCACCCACCCCAAGCAAGGAAGGTGGCAAAGGGAAAGGGATCTTACCCAATGGCAGGGCGGCGGCTCGCAAGGGAGAGCTTTCATAATTAACATTTACACTGACCCTTAAAGTGCAAAAAGGGTTTCAGATGCGCTATCTGGTTGTACTTATAAGCGTGGAAGGTAGATAACCTTGCTCCCTGTTAGGGTGAGCATACGTCCGTCTGTGCATGTGTTGAGATTCATCCTTGGCAATGGTCGCTTTGCTACCGTGGCCTTAAAACAAGCCAGGCTTCCTTAGATTATTAAAACACTGAAATTTAACCATACGGAAATTCAGATAAAGAGGTCTTACAGAAGACCTGTGCTCTATTGAAAAAAGGCTAGCTGCCGTTGTTTGGGCTTTGCAAGGTTGTGATCAGGCAAGGAGCAAATGGGCGTGACAAACCACTCACTCAAAAATAAATGAATAAAAATTTAAAAATGCTAATAAGCTTCCACCACATCCATGACTTCTAATGTGGCCATCTTTTTACTTAACAGGTTTTCTGCAGTATGAGGAAATCTGAATTAAACATATGGACAGTAAAAAAAGCATGGTTGCACAAGTAGCACCAATTCTACAATAGACTTATCAGATTAATGCAGTTATTATTGCATTCCCTTATTTTATCCTGTTTGCTAATTATGTTGTTTTCATCAATGTGATTTATTCTGTCTGAAAGGCGAGCAGATAAATATATTGTTAAAACCCCAGAGAGAAATAAAAGTGCATTTTGCAGTGCATTGGTGTAGTTTTATCCATATAGCACTATAAAGCTTCTAGGTAGGAATTAGGTTTCCTTAAATATACTAGACTATTTATGCTAGAAATAATTTTTCTAGATTTCAATTGGAAATTTCAAGTATATTATCACCATTCTACATTAATTCAGTTCACCAACATAGCAACCCTCCTATGAAGCCTCTTTATGTTCTGTGGTTATGTGGATGGCTAACCCCCCTCCTTAAAAAGTGCAGAGCTGAAGGAGGAAACTGGAACAGTAATACTCTATGAGATTTTCAAGGGCTAGATTAGTTCTACTGGATCCAACTTTTCCCCTGGATTAGGCCGCTCCCTCACAGAGAGGAAGTGCATACATGAATACACCGTTTCTTTTACAAGGGATCTGGGTAAAAGTGGCCAGAGGGGATGGCACCCATGTCACTCAGCAATCCAAATATCAACCTAAAATGACAGTCAACAACCTCTAACCTAATCCTTGGAACATTATAGATTGCAGTCCCCTTTCCTTCAAGCAGGAATTCTATTAATCACAGGTCTTGGGCTTTTTGTTATAAAATGAATTTTGTCTTCTACACAGTAATAATACAGTAATAAGTTTTCTGTCCCAGTCTGATGACCAATTAGCCAAATGACACTTCCATAGTAAAAACAACAACCACCCCAAATACTTCTAGCTTTGTCTGCTATGAGAAATTATATCAGCTGTATTAAGATCCTTCACCAAGATGCTCAAATAAGCGGCATATACATTATGCCTCACACTCATCTGATTTTTTTTTAAAATCATGCTAAGAGATATAAACCAAGTTTTCTACCACCACAACAAAGTTGCATCACAATTACTCGCTGGAAGGTTTAAAGCAGCTTTCACCCACCTGGTGTCCTCTAGATGTTGCTGGACTGGACCTCAACTATCAGTACCATTCAGTACTGGCTAGGGTTGATGGGAGCTGCAGTGCAATAGCATCTGAGGAGGGCACCATGTGGGCTGCCTTAAAAGAAGCATCTATTTCTGATTATGTCCTTTGAGATGTGATGGGTCACATAATTTCTTAAGGCAAGAGAGGGAATCCTCAGAACGGATGCTTTCAGTAGTCCAGGTCCTGGTCACAGTGGCCTTGTCCTGTTCCAAAAACGGTATTATCCGGGCCTCCAGAACAACAGGTAGATGAGTAGGCAAAGGAATCGTACATATTTTTTTACAGACCAAGTAGACCTGGATACCTACTGAAGGTTCAAGGAGTCTGCATATTTACATGCATATTTTAAAGCAAACAAAGCAGACCAACTCTACTTTCACATCACTGGGATTGTAGGGGAAGGTACATTTGCCCCTCATGTAGCTAACGTCTTATTAGGAGTGTGAGAGAACAGAAGAGCTTGGTTGTTGGATGAGCATCATTCAGCCCCACCTAAATTTCTCAATCAATGTGAGCAACAGTTGCATTTGTTGATAGGCTTGTATTTGAGACGAGGCAGTATGGTTATGAGTTATAAACAGACATATTAAAATCAGCCCTGGCCTGACTGGAATTCCTAACAAGGGGGGAAAGAATATAGGTAGGAGTTGTGTGGCACAGGAATTTCACACCATCAGCTGGGTGTATTACAAAGATTGTACAGAGACATCAGCATATAGATCAAATATATTAAAATCCACTTATATTTGCATAATTGACGTACCTGGGGCTTCCCCCCCTTGCTCACTCTGCTTCCTAACCCCCATCTCCTTGCCTCAGTTTCCCTCCCAATGACCATAATGTGCTTTTTCTTTCTCAGCTTCCAAATCTACATAAAAGGTCATAGTATCTCCTCCACCCACCCACAGAACTTCCCATCAAAAGGACAATCTCTCTCTCTCTCCACACACCCCAAATTCTCTCTCACACCTGACCGGAAAAGCCTCCCTCAGTAGCTGGGAACAAGAACAGCATGGAGGAAGTTCCCCCTCCCAAGCACATTATAGTGGCACCACCCTCTCCCTTGGTGACCCATGTGGGCTCTAAGGTGGATTCCTGCAAAGGCCAGCTTCCAGGCATCAGATCACTCCATGTTCCTCTTGCGTCCCCCAGCAGTTCAGCCTGCGGTCACAGGATGACAACAGACCCGTACAAATTCAGAGAGACGAGGATGTCATTAAGTAGCAAGAGAAGGTCCACCACCAGTTCCATTAACAAGCCAGCCTCTTCCCATCTGCCACTTCATAGCAGCCACAACATTAGGTCGAAATAAAAGAAGGGATGCAGGGCCACTTCATTAGCACAGCTCAGAGAGCATCAGTTTTTGGCTCCTCCTCTCCTTGAACTTTTCCACTTTAGCTGGACCCTAAAAGAACATGTTAACCAAGAACTTGCACCTGCACGGTACGCATTCCCCACATTCAATTTTAACTTGTACTAAGCCTTTTGAGGGTGTATGTCTAGGCATCTATATTGCTTTGCTTGTGCTTGAGCCTTTGGTTCATTTAAATCAGGATAGGGAAACTTGTTGCCCCTTTGGATGGCATTTGACTCAAGCTCCTACCAAACCAAGAAAGCTTGGCCAATTGTCAAGGATGATGGGAGCTGTAGTCCAAACATCATCCGGAGAACCACAAGTTTCCCACTCCAGTTTATATTACATGGAAACAAAAACAAAAAAAGGAAAAACTGCACCAGGAGGATGAGATTGGTGTGTCAGTAAAGCAGACTCCTCCACATGCTGCAACACGACTTGTATAACCTAGACTTAGATCCAGGAGAGGCACTTTTTATGACCTTTTGGGTTATTTCAACAGGCAGAATTCTTGTTTAACTTTTATTTCTTGCAGCAAGAACTAAGAAGCCCATATATTTACTGTGGCTGTTTTTCTTCCGGCAGGATTTCAAATCCTAGCATCAGTTTAAGGCAAAAAAGGAAATAGTGAAACTGTCTCTATCCCCCACCCCTTTATATTCCCTGATCTATGCTTGTACGGTGGGGACCTTCAATTCAATACTCTCTATGCAAGCATCTCTAAAATCAGTAAAATATATATATATATTTGCCACCAACTGAATAAAGCAGTGCTGCCCGGCAGTTAAGAGTGCCGACCCACCTATGACTGCCGAGTAGATTCAAAGCCTCAGCTGCATCAAGAGAACACTGTGGCCTCAGTCAGGAGTACTTTGCCTCCATTCCCCTTCAACAGTAAAATGATGTTAACCTACCTCGCAGGGTCACTGCAAGACACAAATAAAAGCATGCATGCCATTTTGCACATTGGATCCTGGATACTGCTAATTATGTTAAGGAAAACAGTCCTCACTCCAGTTCTTATCTGGATTGCAATCACTGAATGCACAGATGTAGTTTATTAGTTTCCTTGGCATTTGTTTCACTGTTTTTCTTCCTTTTAAACAACAAAGAGCAAATCTCTATTACAAAATGCAGCCCAAGGTTTCGCATCCAGCTTCACACCTGCCTGAACTTCTCTTCTTGAATGCTTTGGGAACCCTGAATTCAAATGTCGGAGAGTGAGAAGAAGAAAAGGGGGAGGGGATATGTGCATACCGTAAGCATTTAAGCAATCTGAAGGGGCCATTCCCCATCGCAGAAATAAGCTGATAGTTTGCCTTGGCCAAGTAATCTATACCTGGTAAAGGGAGTTCAACTAATCTGGCACTTCCTACAGTAGGTAAAAGGAGAACTCAAGATAACCAAAGAGGTTTTCATGGCCATGTGTTCCTAGGCAGGCCTGCCACACAGTATCCTAATATATATACCTTAGAAGAATTATAGTTCCCCCCCTCTGGAGACCAAATTAGACAAATATCTACGTGTATATATAATATATAAAAATACAGAGCTTTCTCTTCTTCATTTTGAAGTAGAATGTATACGACACAGTTGAGCAGGAGGTAATTCTGAGAAAACACAGGCCACTTGACTCTTTGAGCTGAGAGCAGATTGTGCACCGAGTGCAGGCACAAGACCTGCTCCAGGAAACATGTCAGGTTTGTCCCCACCCCAGCCAGCCAAGACCCCAAAAAAGGGAAAGAATTCCTTTCAAAATAAATGACATGGAACCAAAAGGCTTCAATAAGGTTTGAAATTTTTCTTCAAGTAAAGATGCAGGATGAGGTTTCCTCCACCAGTTCAACACTTCAGTCAGTAGCAAATGTAAGAGAAGCCCACCTTCATGGTTAGCTGTGCTTTGAGTCCTTTTAACCTAGGCCTCTTCCTCTTCCTTAGACTGGGCCTTCAGGAGACAGTGGGAACTGCTGCACTGTTTGAATTCTGAAGCAGTTAAAAAAAGAATCCCTCCCTGAAGGACAGTCTTTCCGATGCCTGGTGGGATGGGGCTGTCCAACATTTCCTGCATCTGGGTACAGGAATATTTTTGAGGAGGGGGCAGGAGCAGCAGCAACTTGGCCCAAATCCCTTGAAAAGGTGCTGTTTGGCAAGAGGGTTTCGGGGGGGCAGGGGGACACAGAACAATGAGGGCCAAAGTGCTGCTTTTGGCAGATCAATCAAGAGTCTTTAATAAAAATCAAGATGTGCAAAAAAGAATTTTTTTAAATAGTTGAACCCAAGCATCCAGGATTAAATTCCTTGGTTGTGATCTACGTTATTTTGCCTTCTCCCACTGGAAAAAAGTCATCTCTCAAGTACCCAAATGAAGATACACATTTGAGGAAAAACCTACACAAAAAACCCCAGAGGAAAACCACACACTAGAAGGTGTAACTGATTTACACCTCCTCTTTCATCCACCTCAGCACCTGCTTTTTTGACACACATGTGCAGCAGCAAAAAGAAAAAAAATGTATTGTGTGTAAGAATCTCTCTTCTGCTTCTTCTTCTTCTTCATGAGCGCGAAGTACTGCTGCCATGTGTCAGTGAAGGAGAAAGCTGTTTTGTAACAGGTGGAGTGGGCACTTTGCAGCCTTTTGTTTGGCTGAGAAGAGAACACGGCTGGGGGTGTGAAGGCTCTCTGCAGTTAACTTTCCAACAAAGTTACGATGTTCTCCCCCCTTCCCCCGCTCTGCACACATGTTATAGCTGGAAGCCTTCCATGGGGGCCTCTGGTTGCTGGAATATAAACTGCTGCTGGGCCTCGTCTACCTGGGGAGCCAAAGTGGAGTCGTCCTCATCGATGCCAAAGTAGTGCTCAATCAGATCAAAGGCTTTCTGGTAGATCTCTTGGTTTTCATGGCTCTGGAGAAACTCTATTTTATCCAAGCCTGGAGGAGAAACACATTGTCCTTGTTATTATGCATACACAGCTCCACCACCTGGTGCTATGCTATAGCTACAACTATGGAACTCACTCCCACAGGAGGCACTGATGGCCAACAACCTGGATGGCTTTAAAAGAGGACAGGACAAATTTATGGAGGAGACAGCTGTCAATAATTCTGCCCTCGTGCTCAGAGGCAGTAATGCTTCTAAATACTAGCTGCTGGAAACCACAGAAGGAGGAGAGAGTGGTCTTGTGCTCGAATCTTGTTTGTCGGATGGGAGCTGTAGTCCCAAACAGCTGAAGGTTGGCAAAGGTTGTGGCAGGGTTTGGGGAGGACTAAGGAGGTGTGCCAAAAAGTTCAAGGAAAAGGTGGACCTTTGAGGAAGTTGAGAGCTTCTGGGAGGTGGTTCTGGCCATTGAGAGAGAAGGAAGGAAGGAAGGAAGGAAGGAAGGAAGGAAGGAAGGAAGGAAGGAAGAAAGAAAGAAAGAAAGAAAGAAAGAAAGAAAGAAAGAAAGAAAGAAAGAAAGAGGAAGGACTTGCAGGTGGCCGAGGCTGGTGGAGATGGAGGAGCATAGGTAACATGCAGGTATGTGTGAGGATGTGAAGGAAGAATCACTGACAATTTATTGGGAAGTGTTTGCAAATGAGGGTATACTTATTAAGTTGCCTTGGGAAAAGAGTTTCAAGATGCAGGCTGGCCAACTCACCATAAGCTTCCTCAATGAGGCTGCAATAGGGGTTGATGCCAGAGCCATTCTGCTTGGCCTCCTGTTCACCCAGTCGCAAAATGTTCTCCAGGCCATTCAAGGCCACTTGAACGATCTTGGAGTCCATGACAGTCAGAAGGTCACACAGGGGCTTGATGCAGCCAAGGTTGACTAAATACCTGAGAAAGGGAACACAAATGCTCTGAACTTCACCTATGTTCAAAACCAAACCAAAACAGGCAGACGTTACTGGCTGACGTTCAGGTCAAATTTATGTAACTGTTTCAAGTGGGAGCAGGGAGCGGGGAGGTAAGTAACTCAAGTTTGCTTGGAATACATGCCCTTCTGCCCCACCATGTTCTCACACAAAAGGGCTGGGTTATGGCAAAAGGTGTGAGAATGGTACTCTGCCCACGTTCAGGAGAAACTTTAGGTAAGCTTGGAGATGTAAGAGTCTTGGAAGATTCCAGGGTTTAAAAACCTGCAAGGTTCAGCTAAAGTTAAAGTGCTGAAAGTAACAGAAAAAGTATGTCCTGGTTGCCAAGTTGTGCTACTCTGTTTTTAGACATGTACATTTTGATCTACATTCTATTACCTCCCTCCAAACCCCCAGGGAAGTGCTTGCCAACCAACAGGAAGGTTACAGTGCTCTGAACAAGGATGCTGCACTAATCAGACTTACCTGCTGTGAATTAATACTTTTTAAAGGAAGCCCTTTGTTCTAATGAAAAATGTAGCAATTTAATGGTCTGAGGCAATGAAATCCGTATACACTGTGGGAAATATGCCCTTGTCTCACCAGTAATACTGATGATCATCAGTTTCTGGTGTTTGTTGTTGTTTTGAATAATTTTAAATTGGGTTTTATAAACAAGGCTCATAGGAATAATAAATAATACAAATAAATAGACCACATCTTCTCATGGCATTTGTAGCACAATAAATTTGCAGTAATATCTACAACATATGGTGCATTATTAGTGGTCAATGTACAAGTTATTGGTTCTGGAGTTGGTTTAAACAAAAACAAAGGTGAAACAGAATAGAACAGAGTTAACAGATAACATTCAGCATCACATAGCTAGACACCGAATTGGGAGTTCTTGCAGTTGTGCTTAGATTAAGTATGAGTGATAGTCATTGATGAACATGGGAGGCGGGTTCAGAGTGAAGATAATAATTCATCAACTAGATTGGGCTAAAATGCTGATGGGGAGGGTCGTTCATTTTCTGGAATACTGGCATATGTTGTGAAATTAAACCACACTGGGGCAAAGCCATCTTTCTTGATCTGTCCATATGTTAACTATAGTTTATTTGTTACTCTCTCAAGGAGGGCTGTTTCCCAAACTGTTTTGTACCAATTGTCTATTGTTGTGATAACCAGTTTCTGTTAACTATAAAGAAATAGGGTGTGTGGAGTGAGAGAGAGCTCTCCTCTTGTCCATGCTCCTAGCCCCCTAGCCTGCACCTGGTCATTCTTTCTCATGAGAGCAAGAAGTGCGGGGAGGGAGTTACATGTCACTCATTCTTCCTACCACAAATAGTGTCTCTTTCTGACCAGTTCTTAAGTCTCTCAACAATCCATTCCTGACTTCCTCCACAATTTAACCAGTTCTTCCATATTCTTTAAAAAATAAAACAACACAAAATAAAATAAAAGGTAGCCCAACCTAACTGCAGAACTCCTCTTTCTACCCAACTTATTTGGCCAAAGACCATAAAAGCAAGGTCAAGACTAGGCACGATGTATCCTAACCCATCCCACAAGTCCTTTCACAGCGAAGTTCTTCTGGATCTGTGGGTAATGAGAACACTGTGATACAAAGAGGGAGGGGAGCCAAATGGAAAGACTTTGCAAAATGAGAACAGCCTCAACCTACTTGATCTGCTCTGGGGTTCCTCCTGATGTTGCATTTGTGATTGCCCAAGCAGCTTCTTTTCTTGTGCGAAATTCAGCCTTCTGCAAGATCTCGATCAGCACTGGGAAAATGTTGGCATCTATGACTGCCTGCAGGGGGAATGTGAAAAAGAGAACAGTGAGTCCTTCTCCTGCAAGAAGAAACTCCTGCCATCCATATTCATGGGGCAGTTCAATCATTCCATCAGCTTCCCTTTCTATGGGCTCACTCTCCCCAAACTGGATTCTGGCTGATGTCTCTTCCCTAGATTTGCTTAGGCTCAGGCAAAGCTTTCCTTATAGCAGCCTGGCAGTATTGTCAGATAACTTTCTTTAAACCACTGCCCTTTGTGCAGTTATCACTAGCTACTGTTGGAAAGTTAGAGAAGTTTCCAACAACAATTTGCCACATGGCAAAGGAAGGGAGGATGGAAAGGGAGCTGCTGCCATTTCAGAAAATTAGGTTCTCGCTGGCACTCAACAAATGAGTCCCACAGCTCTTTAGATTCAGGCTTTCAAAAATTCTAGCAAGAAATTCTGGAGAACCTCACATGTCATTTCATTAAGTTTTGGGGTCTTTAATACTTTGAGTTGGTGTGTGGGGAACCTCCAGATATTGCTGAACTACATCCCCCATCAGCCCCAGCAAACATGGCCCATGGCTAGGGATGATGGAAATTGTACTTCACCAACATCTGGAAAGCACCAGGTTCCCCACACTTGACTCAGAAGGTAGCTATTCAATTTCTGCTACAGGCTTTGCAAACCCATCTTTTGAAAAGGAGCATTTGGTTTCAGGTCAAATGATCGGGAAAGCATGTGATGGAAGGTTCCCGGGTATATCAAATGAATTAAGATGCAATTTGGGGAGTATATGTTCTGAGGGGAAAAACCAGATCCTGCTGCAGGTGATTGCTGTAGAAATCATTTGCTACCTTCAAAAAATGCTACAATTCCTTATGAACATCAGTCATTGTCCAAGCCATGCAGCCAAGAGCATTTTGTTTGCTTTGACTACTATCATTTCTGCAGTATTATTCAAGGAGAACAAGTCTCAGAACACTTCTACTTAGGAGATGCAATCCAAAAGCAGGCAGGCAAACTTGTACATCTGCTTGGTCCAGAAGAATTTCATTCTTTTGAAGAAGCTTTCACATTCCGAAGTATTTTTGCTTTAGCAGTAAGAAACTGCCTACTTATTTCCATCCTTACAATTTGTAAAAGTTGTAGGAGCAAGATTAATATAAATCTCCCACCGAACAGCTTTCCCCTCCCTGCAATATCCCCAGGCTTGTACCATGAAGTACCATAACAGTATGGCTGCCACACCCCAAGGCTGGCTTTCTCAGGCACCTGCTAAGGTCAATACTCCAGCAGTGGCCTGCTGTCAACTGCTACAGCCTTCTGGCCCTGATCTACCTCGCCACAGCGACCTGCACACCCTCTCCCTGAAAGCAGGTAGGTGAACAAGCAGTAGTGGCGACAAGGAGGAGAGGATCCCCTTGCCCCAAGGGCTGACCACAAATGCAGTGCTGGCACCGTTATTGCATCAGCACCCAGGTACCCAACAGGGAGACTGCTTGAGAAACAGCGAATTATGTATGCCCCTCCCATGCCATCTCTCCCATCACATTACCAGAGTAAAAGACCCAAAAGGTCTGCTGCCCTTTGAGTCAAAGGAAGCTGTACCTGTATCTGAGCACTGTTCCCCGCTGTGACGTTGGAGATCGTCCAGCAAGCTTCTTTCCGGATAGACTCTTTGGAACTGCTGAGTAGATGAAGGAGACAAGGCAAAGCTGAGCAATTCAGGATCACCTGAAAAGGGGAAGTTGAAGAGGCGCTTGTTAGAGAGAGCTGCTCCTACCCAAAAGAAGAGCACCAAGCTCTTTCTCTCTAGCTATCTTGAAAAGTCTCTGTTTTTGTTACAATTCACAGTGGCAAGAAACAATCCGGCTTTCCGTGTATGACTGCAAATCCACCCCCACCCCCCAAATGAAGCCAGTGTTTGCTTTGATGACACTTTCACATCTTCTCCCAAAAGCCTAACAGAAATGCATCTTCCAGAACCAGCCCTCTGCAGTGGTTGTAGGTTCCCGTATCCTGAATTTGGGATGGCCCCATTTAACTCTTATTCCCAAGGTCACCTGGGTCTGGATGTCATCCCCCGTCACAATGTTGCCAACAGCTCGCAAAGCTGGGGAGGCCACCTTGTAATCACTGTGCCTGCCAGGAGAAGAAGAAAAGGAAAAGATGCCCACCTTATTACCCAGCAGAAGGAACACCCCAATCCCTATCTCAATGCTTCACTCCTCTTGGCACTGGCTATGGTCTACCATTTTGAGTGTGGTACTGCTGCGCTACTTAAGACATCTACTTTATTTTATTTATTTCATAAGATTTATGCACTACTTAATTGTTTGTAAAAAAAACAACAACCAAAGAAAAATTATGGTGCTGTTCACATTATCCCACCTATTTATTCCATTTTAAATCCAGTGTATGCACACACACATATGCAGGGGCTGGTGCCATTCCATGCTTCCTATGTCAGAAGGTCTCAGTACCTGAATGGTAGCCACTCTAGCCATAATAATGGTCAATATTAATTCCATATGCTACTTTTGTAAAACTTCCAAAGGGTGCCAACATTTCTCTCAGGCCAACATATGACTAAAATTGTGACACACATATCCCTGCCATGTAAGAGATATGTCCTCCTATAAATCCCAGCTAGAGAGAGGAGGCAACTCTGCTATTACACACACACACACACAACATCCTTCAGAGGCTGGACACTTACATCAGCAGTTCCACCAGTCGCCGACACACCCCTGAATCTATTACAGCCTGGATTTTCTCATTGGGGCCATCCGACAGGTAGGAGAGAGCCCAGCATGCATCCGCCAGCAAGTCTGAGTCACTGCTGAAGAGTAAGCGTGACAAGACTGGCAAACACGACGACACCTACCAAGAAGCACAATCGTAAGGGAATGATAGTAAGATCCCAAGAGAGGCAGAATGACAAATAAGCCCATGACCAATTGGGGTTGGGGACCACGACAAGTTGCAAGCATTGAAGGAGAATGCCTGAATGCCTGTCAATTGCAATTCCAAACTCTTGTCCAACTTGACTCATAACATAAAAATCCATTTTGGGAAGGCGGGGAGGGATTGTTTGAACCAATGGCCCAAGCTACAAATCCGCCCCCCTTCATTTCCCTTACCCTGACTTGGGGCTGTTGCTCACAATCATTCTGCTTACTGGAGAGCACAGCAGTGTCACAATGGGATGTCCATGTAGAAGAAGCTCATGGTGGGCTATTCCTGGCATGCTCATTACTTCACACAAAACCCAGGGTTAGTAGTGGATATTTTTGCCAAGGGCCAACCCTGAAACTTTCTTCCAGATGTAGTAGTTTCTTACTACTACAGGATTAGACTTTTCGTCCCCACACATTACAAAATATGAAGCATGTGGGTGGAGTGTGGTTGTGGGCATCTACTTCAAATGGTATAGTCTAGAGTTCTATGACATCATTCTGTGGAAGGTGCCAGGGCAGAGGCCACACTTTTATATCTCACCTTCTCAAATTCAGGGGGTGGATTTTTCCCTCTGCACAAGTTTGACAAGGCCCAGACAGCATTTCGTGTCATTGTCAACCTGGTGGATTTTGTGAGGAGTCTGGAAAACAGGCAAATTATACTTTATATAAATATTACATTGCTAAATATAAATCTAGAGATTACAATTGTTCTTACAGTCATCATTTTTATCAGTTAAAACTCTTCTAATCCTTAAGTCCTTTTCCTTTCAGTGACAGCTTGAATTCAAGCTGAACTGCAAAAGTAGAAAAGGAGAATCTGAAACACACCCAGACCTTTCTGGTCTGTTTAAAGGAAAGTTGGGTTACCTCAACCCAAAATGCCTATGATGCCACAATGATCACTTTCAAGATCCATCTTATTCCGCAACATCAAGTTTTATCCTGCCTTTTCTCCCACCTACTCAGGGCAGCTTATGTCGGGTATCCTATTTTAACATTTGTAATTGACAAGTGGGCTATCCCACCCAACTATCTTGCAGCCAGCTAGCTGTCAAACACTTGGGAACTGCAGTGCAAGGGGCTTTGCAAAGTGCTGAGCACAGGACTGGCAAAGCTAGGTGATTGAGTTCCCCCCAGGTAAGTCTACCACACAGCAGATCCAGCCACATCTCTATCTGCCCCACACCAGCATCAGATGTGACATCAGGTGGGGGGCAAGTAAGCAAGATTTGGAGGTGGGGGGAGGGAGGCCATCTCTTGAGCCAAACTGCAAATTCTGCCAGGCCACATTTGTCCCATGGGCTGGAGATTCCCCAACCATGACTTAGGAGATATTGCTTAGGCTGAGAGAACTGGATCATGGTCTGTTCTGGTTGAGGGCTTCCCATAAGCATCTGGATGATCTGTGAGAACGGAACACTGGAGATGTGTTTGACTTGATCCAGCAGGACTGCTCTTATGTCACCTAGCAAATTTAAATGACCAAATGGAAACCTGAATCTATTAGCCTCTCTGTTGCTCAACTAAACATGCTTGTTTATTACATTTATATCCCACCTTTCCTTCAAGGAGCTCAAGGTGGCATATAAAGTTTTCCTCCTCCCCCATTTTAGTCTCATAACAGCCCTGTGAGATAGGTTAGGCCAAGAGTGTGAATGACCCAAGGTCACTGAGGGATGAGTGGGAATATGAAACCTTGTCTCCCAGGTCCTAGTCTTAACCTATCTATTCAATCACTCAATCAATCAATCAATCAATCAATCAATAATTTTTAAAAATTGTATACCACCCTTAGAGCTCAGGGCGGTTTACAATATAAAACTGGCTCTCATCCACGTTCTGATCTTCATCCACCATTCCATCTTCCTTCATTATCAGGAAGGAAGGAAGGCCTTGCACATTCTTCCCTGAGCAGAGATCTTTCCCACGCATCCCTCCTCAGGTCAGCCACATCACTAGCATCATGCTAAACCACCATGGGCTTCTTGCAATCTGGCCTTCACAAGGTGGGTCACACCAAAAATACCTACAGGGTTGTTTAAAGCTATTGGAGTGATAAGCTGCATGTTACTAAGAAAAATGAGTCTCCATCCTGGACCTCTAGCCAGTCTGGTCTGGGGAGAAGTCTCCTCCAGACTCCAAATATGGTGATCAATTTGATCCTACTCAAGAGAAAAATCCCACTGGGTCTTCCCAGGGCAGTTTCATGCCACCTAACAAAATCTTTACGTCCATGGCTGTAGAATGGAAACAAAGGAACACACACACACAGGCATTGCCAAGGAGCACCCGAAGTCGGAGTTTCATGCAACAGCTACTCACAACAACAAGGGAGGGAGGATGCCACAGTTGAGGACGTAATCACGGCAGGCAGAACTGTCTCCAGCAATGTTCCCCAGTGCCCAAACAGCCTGGAAGAAGAACAGGAGCTTCAGCACTCAGTCATTGAATGGAGAGGGAATGGTGGAGCAGGAATCCCTGGGCCCCCTCAAAGAATCCAATAACTTGTGGCAACTTTCAGCTATTTGTCATTTTTGCAATTAAAACGTAGCAAAGCTTTTTTTCCTGAGAGTTTCTGCACACACCAATGTGGGCAGCTGTTAATTGCTGTAGGGAGCTACAGCCAAATGTTTGGTTGAAATCAGTGTAAAATGCATCCCTAGCTTTCTGATCTTGCTCTCCCTACTTTGAATCATTGACCCACAGCGATTCAAGCTCCTATGTTCCCTTGCTGCCCCATTCCCGTTCTTGCCAACTGCTCTTGAGCATGCCTACAAAGCACTAATGCCACCACAGGCCCTGCCCACTGCTCTGAGCAGTCAGGATGCTTTTGTTATTACTATTTATTAAATTTATATACCACCCTTCATCAAGAGACCACAAGGCAGTTTACACACACACAAACACACATCGCATTACAAGGCCATAGACTGATTAACAGCCCAAGGCCTGGTTGAAAAGGAATGCTAATGATATGTAACTAAGGCACCTGGCAAGCCTCCCTGGAAAAAGCATTCCACAAATGGGGAGCCACCACAGAAAAGTCCCATTCTCATGTTGCCACTCTCTGGGCCTCCCGTGGACGGAGCACATGAAGAATGGTATCAGATATTGACTGCAGGGTCTGGGTCAGTTCATACGGGGAAAGACAGTCCTTGAGCTTTCTGTGACATCACTGCAGCTTTGTCAATGACATTGAAGAGGCAGGGTAGGGGCTTCACAAGCAACAGGGAACACCCAGTTTTTCTATCATATAAAAGCTTTGCAGAAAAGAAATTATTTGGAACTGCTCTCCCACAGCTAAGCCAAAAGCTCTCCCTGAAAACACCTTACCTGCTCTTGGACATCTTCAAAATCAGAGCTCAACAATTCAATGAAGATCGGAACTGCTCCAGCTTCAATTACTATTTTGGTTTGTAGTGAAGTGCCCGAGGCAATGTTCGTTAATGCCCATGCAGCTTCAAACTGAAAAGTAACAAGCAACCAATTAAAGGAAGTCTCCAACAGAAGTACACTGTACAACAGAGCAGTGGCCCCCAAACTCCCCACCCCAGACACTTGAAAATTATTGATGGACATAGTGGACCACTTAATGGTTTTTCTGCCTGTTAGAGAAATTGCAAGGAGCTGTGCGAGAGGCTGAGTGATTTTTAATTGTCTTTTTTATTGCTTCTGCTATTTCTAATTTTGTATTTTATTGTATTACAATTCGCACACCACAAAATTCAAATCGTACTGCAATTACATACAACACAAGCAACAAAAAAGCAATAAAAATACAATTAAAAATTCAATATTAATATTTTATACGGACATGCCATGGACCACCTGAATGAAGGACTACAGTTTGGAAATTCCTGCAACAGAGGATTCGTTGTCCTGGATTTTAGCTAAAGCAAGTCAAAACTGACTTCTCACAGAACTGTTCAGTTTGTGCCTTGAGAGAAACATTTCACAGAGCAGAGCATTTCAGAGGTTGGACCCTTCGTTGACATGCCGTGAACAGGGCTGTGGTGAAAGTTCAAAGGACTTATTCAAATTTTCTATTGGGGGTGTACAGGCAAAGTTTGGAACCCCTACTCCCCCCTTCTGCCAAAAAAACATGAGCCATTTTACTGATTCTCTGAAGATACAAAAGACACCCTCATGGAAGAAGTTTACCCATTTTAGCTGTAGTGGCTAAAGCATCACTCTTAACTTTTTAAATTTTAATTAACTTTAATTTGAGAGAGCACAGCCTCCATTTTCTTTTCCCCACTATGCCCCAGATTGATGCTGTGTCTGGGACTGTGGGGAAAATGAAAGGTAGTCAAACAACAGAACCAAAGTCTATGGACATCACATGTAAATGAACTTTTATGTTATAGGTTTGTGGGCGGATGCTTAACGTTTGGTGGGAAGGAAAGTCAGACCACAGTCGTGGCTACAGTCACAAACAACCCCATGCAAAGGCACAAACACTAAGAGTGACAAGGGGGCCAATTTAATTTCCAGAGAAACAGATGACAACCTTGTCGATAGCACTGAACAACAAATGCAAAGGAATCTCATTCTCACTTACCTGCAATGTGCAGTTTTCACTTTTTTTGAGGAACTCCACAAACCTGTCCACCACACCCTGAGTATTGATCACTTCATCTATTGGAGGATTGGGCTCTAAACAGAGGGGGAAAGACTACTGTTAACACATACCTTTTTCTCCACGACACCAGTGGTATGCTAAAATAGCACTTAGGCACTTAGTTTGTAAGCAGTTAGCACAGATAGTGATGTGAGGTGAGAATATTCTCCAGAGAATATTCTCTGCTAGAAAATTCTCCGGAGAATATTCTCCACAGCTCTCTTCAGTTTTGCCTTAAGAGTTTGTCGGACACAAAGTATGCTTTAAAAACTTTGGTTATAAAAAAAGAAGTGGAAGGTATTTTATTAAATTGTATAAAGTCCCGGATACTAGATGAGGCAGTATGTTGGCTAAGAGCACTAAAATTTCATGACCTTATTGCTCCAACAGTGAAATGGATAACATTATTAGAATTGGACACACGAAGGTTAAGTAGGGTGGTTGAGTCATTTAAAGAACTAGAAGATCACTTTGAAAAAGTGATGCCTTTGAGCAAGAAGAGAAACAGCTGAAAGAGGCAGTTAAGAAAAGAAATGGCATTGCAGCCAATTCACTTTGCTGCAAATATCCTTCATCCCAAGTATAATGGCGTTCATTTATCACGAGATGAACAAATTCAAGGTACTGTGTTCACTGATCTCAAAATATCAGCAAGTGTACCAAATGTTGCACACTATATTTTGTCAGAGCTGGCAGCATAACGTGCTAAGGAAGACTTTCTTAGCAAGTCATATGTATTATATCATTTTCAATGCATTAAAATGAATATTCTCCTATTTTAAATTAAAATTCTCTAATATTCTCATTAATCGAGAATATTCAAGAATATTCTCCAAAAAATTATTCTCAAGAATTTAACATCACTAAGCACAGATGCCCTTTTTATCAGTTTCCATCACTGACACAAAGGCAAGATATTTGTTCCGACAGCTGAGGTTCTCAGCATTCAATGAAGGCTACACCTGGGGCAAGGGAAGATTGCGTATTGACAAGCGCCTAGCTCCTGCATGTGGTGGACAACATAGAGCTCAAGGTCAGAAATCTCACCACCACCAGGCCATCCATATTTTCAAGACTCTAATATTCTAAATTAAAATGGCCGTTGCATTAAGAATATAGCATAAGAACGTCAGAAGAGCCCATATAGTCCAGCATCATGTTCTCCAAGTGGCAGTGGAATACCTATGGGAATCTTGCAAGCAAGACACTAGTGCAATGGCACTCTCTCCTCACTTGCTATTCCCAGGAACTGATAAACAGAGGCATACTAGAGACAGAACATAGTTTTATCCTCCATGAATTTGTCTAATCCTCTTTTAAAGCCATCAAGATATGAAACAGATCCCACAATTTAATTATGCACTATGTGGCTAGGTACTTTCTCTCAATGACTCACACCCCTTAATCATTCAACATTCAGCTTCATTGAATGGTCAAGGTTTTAATGTTATTAAAGACAGCAAAAAACTCACTTTTATACCCACTTTCTCTACACCATGCATAGGTCTACAGACCTCTCATATCACTCCTTGCTCATCTTTTCTCTACATTAAGAAGCCACAAATGCTGCAACCTTTCCTCATTGGAAATCAGGGTTGCTCTTTTCGTAAACTTTTCTAGCTCTACAATATCCTTTCTGAGGTGAAACAACCAGAATTGTATACAGTATGCCAAGTACAGTCACACCATATGATTTGTATAACAGCATTATGACATTGTCACTTTTATTTTCAATCCTTTTCCTAAGGATCATTAAAATGGAACTTGACTTTTTCACAGCTGCCACTCACAAGGTTGACATTTTCATCAACTGATCCACTATGGCACCAGTTCAGGCCCTATGTGTATATATGTGATTTAACCCTATGTTCAGGTTTGTTTAAAACCATCTGCTTTCTTCATAAGAAGCTCTTCAAATTAGGGCCAACAGGGCACACATACATCCATAAGCACTGTTGGAAAGGGTCAAGAAATGGTTTAAAAATCTAAAAACACCATCTCTCATTCCAAGAACAATCAGGGTTGAAAGGTTATCAATATTCCAACCCCATGTTTGTATATCCCCATTCTTAACTTATTATACTTCACCTATTCAGTCCACTTTCATTCATGAGTTTTTCATAAGTTTCTGGCAAACTATTTAAGCAATTAAAGCATCTTGAGGTCAAAAAAACAAACAAAATACACACAACATTCCTACAATTTCTATTTACAATAGAAAATTCTAAATAGCTATATTTACCTTTTGAAAGCAGTTTCCTGAAGCGCTGGGTAGTTAGTAGCTGAAGATCAGGGTCCTCGGAGAACAGCATTTCCACCATCTCCCTTGTGATTACACCTTCCTGAAAAAAAGCCCATGTATAACAGTCCTAAGGCTAGCTCTTCAAAGCAATGCCCAAATCTAACAGTTCTTCAGATGAGAAACTACCAAACTGGACCTAAGAACATGCAGGCTTAGATCTTGTAAGGTCCTTTTATTTCATTTTTAATTAATAAACCAGGTCCTCATCTTACACCTCTGCAAAAAAACTAAAAAGGAACAGCAGAGTAAATTAAGTTACTTAAAACAGTTCTTCATTTCTGTACTAGTAAGATTATAGTGGTATAAGCCAAAGCACAATAAATGCCATTAGATGGGAATATGACACAGCTTCTGAGAATACTTACCCCACCTGTGGTGGAACTGACAAATGAGTCTACATGAGGACTGTCAGACATAGCAGCATCTTCATTAATTAGCTCCACATTTCTTCGTTTAAAGAGCTGAAATAGAAAATGGATATGTATCAAATCAATGGCAAACAAAAATGCCAAATGTTGGGCATAAGCAAATGCCTTCAGGTCACTTAAGTCCCCTTCACTCTTTGAAAGCAGGGTTCTATTTGTTCCCATCAGCATTTAAGATTCATCAGTCATGAAATCCTCTTGTGAGGATTCTTCACTTCTAAGAAATCAAGAGTTCTAGGACACAAATTCTATAATAGTGCAGTATGACTGAAGAGGAGTGTGTGCACTGCTGGCAATAAACAACAATAAACAACCTTTTTCAATCATCCAAAGCACTGTTTACTTCAGCTGCAGTTAGCTTAGCAAGAGACACAGCACATCCTGGCTTGCTACTCGTTCCTCAAGCCTCACGATCTACAATTTCAGAGGGGTATAATTTGTGGTTTGCCTCCCTGCCCTGCTGCCCCCTCCCCAAATCCAATTTGCAGAACCACATCTTCTGAAACAGATATAGAACAACACTAATTGCAAGGGCACAAAACTCCTCATCAGGAAACACTGGTGCCTTACACAGTGTTCAAGTTGTTGAACACTGTGTAAAGGCACTGTCTAGAAATTTAGTTTATTTGCATTTTACTGAAACTCCATATAAGGGCATTTTTGAGATACAAGTGGGAGATCAAGAACAGTAGTTTTGTTTATTAAAAGGAAAGGCTCTCTAGTACTTCCTCTTATTACCTGTTATGGTAGCATACCAGATCAAAGACAGCCCCAGGTAATGCATGTGTCCACTAATTAAAACTGGAACCCACCCACCTACCTGCAACTTTAAGCCGTCAAGTGGTTAGGTCAATTCAGACCCCAATGTTTTATTATCCATTTTGTTGTTCTGCCAGCTGCCTAGGAACCACATAGCCAGTGATGGCAATGACCAAAGAATCATTTACACAAGAAGTTGAAACTCATCTGTCTTCTACACTCTAGAAACACAGAGCACAGCCAGAAGTAGAAACTAGCAGCCTGGGCCATATTTCTGGTCAACCTACATGCCCTGCTCACCATCCACACAGGAGTTACCTGCTGCTCCCGCTTCTGTTTGCGTAGCTGTATCCCTTCTTCTTCTCTCCTCCGGCGCATCTCCTCGGGGTTCAGTGCCTTGTTTTTGTAGCTCTTCATTCTGTAATTGTTCTCTTTTGCTGGGCTCGCCATGGTTTCTAACAGCGGAAGAAAAGAAGAGGTCATTTTTACTCCATTTCTTTGGGCAACCAAAAGAAAACAGGCATTGTCCTCAAACGTAGGCACTGTTTTCAACACTTGCCAAATGGTACCAACAATCTATTTGCAGATGAGGAATATATCATGAAGTGAGTCGGGACATTGCATGGATAAGGCTCCCTATGCTCTATTCCAAAGTATGGCTGGGAAAGACTCCTTACTGAAACCCTGGACCACTGCTGCCAATCAGTGTAGACAATACTGGGCTAGATGGAGCAATGGACTGAATCAGGATAGGCAGCTGCCTATGCCTTAAACACCCACAAAACTCTAGCTTTTAAAAAATTTCTCCTATAGGAAGGTGTACACACACACACACACACACACACACACACACACACACACACCACAATATCTAAGAGCAATGAGCCCAGAAGAGAAAATGAGTAGCAGTTCATCTCTTTTTATTTTTATTTTCTTTCCTTTTCTTTTTTTTGCCATATAAACCTGCAGATTTTATTTTCCAGCAGATGGTATGTGTGGGTGAATGAAGATTAGGTGATGTTCTCGGCATGTAATCCACCCCACTACTGTCCATTTAATTAAGTGCCAGATAATGTCAAGATGACATACAGCTTCAAGGACTCTTTCTCTTTGATGGTGGAGCAGGGGTTGATGGAACTGAATCAGCTAGGATTCAGATTTCTTTTTAAAAATATATTTTTAATTTTATTTTATAAACCAACTTTCTACTTCTTTTTCTGTTACACATTGTTATCCATCTTATTTAGTATTTCAGTATTTATAACGGAACTTGTTTATTCTAATAGGAGTTCTGATTTTTCAATATGATTTTGCAAGTATCCTTTAAACACCTTCCAGTCCTTGTCTAACTTCTCTTTTGAGATCCTTCCAATTTCTCCCATTGTTTTGGATATATTGTAATACTCTAATAATTTGGCAAGCCACTCTGTTTTTGTCGGCATTATACTACTTTTCCAATTTTCGCAATCAATAGCCTTGTGGCTACTGTTGCGTATAAATATAATGTATTATCCTCTTCCTTTAAACTTCCTGGCACTATTCCCAATAGAAAACCTTCTGATGTTTTCCTAAATGAATATCTAAACATTTTTTTTCATTTCATTATATACAGTTTCCCAAAATTGTTTGATATTTAAACAATTCCTCCATATATGCATCATAGTGCCTTTTTCTGTGCTGCATCATCAGCAGACATCGCCACAGTTTTTATTCATTTGGCTATTCTTTCAGGTGTTAAATACCATCTATGTTGTATTTTAAGATAATTTTCTTTCAATATACAACACGTAGTGAATTTCATATCTTCTTTCCACAATTTTCCCCATTGTTCAAGCATAATATTTTTCCCCAATATCTTGCGCCCATTTAATCATGGATGCTTTAACCAGTTCATCCTTTGTTTCCCACTCTAAGTTCAAATTGTATAATTTAGATTTTAAATTTGTTTTCTTGTATTAAATATTTATCAAATTTAGAAATTTCTTTTTCAAATCTTATCTTTTTGCCTTTCGCTAATCTATACTTAATTTGAATATATTGGAACCAATCACTAATATGAACTTTAATTTCTGTAAAGTCCTTTAATGCCAATTCTCCATTTTCTTCCTCTAATACAGTTTTATAAGTGGCCCAGTTCTCTTTCATATTTAATTTTTTCACTGCAACAATTTCTGCCGGCGATGCCCACCATGGAGTTTTTGGCTCTAGGAGTCTTTTATATTTCTCCCATATTTCATATATAGACTTTCTGATTATATGCCCTAGGAAGCCTTTATGTACTTTAACTTTCTCATCTATCGTATCTACAACCTCTAAATCCAATTCATCCGAATCGTCTAGTTTAATCCATTCTTTTAACCAGGTCAAACCCACTGCATCATAGTATAACTCCAAGTCAGGGAGGCCAAATCCTCCTCTTTCCTTCTTATCTATCATTATTTTATGTTTTATTCTCGGGGGTTTTCCTGACCACCCGAATTTGGCCAAATCTCTTTTCTAATTATTAAAGCATTTTTCTCCTCCTAGTATTGGGATACTTTGAAATAAAAACATCATCCTTGGTAATATGTTCATTTTTATTACTGATATTTTCCCTAATAAGGATAAACTTAGTTTTCCCCATACTTGCAAATCATTTTTTATTTCTTTCCATGTTTTTCCATAATTCTCATTACTTTACTCCATAGTATTTGTTGTTAAATTAATTCCAATATACCTTATTTTCTTTTTAATTTCCAATCCAATTTCTTGTAATTTCACTTTATCTTTTTCTTCCATATTTTTGTTTTCCCATAATTTAATTTGAATCGTGCTAATCTGCCATATTAGTTTATACATTCCAATATTCTGGGTGTGCATTGTAGGGGATTTTCTGTTGTGATCATGACATCGTCTGCGAAAGCTCTTAACTTCTATCTTTTTTTCACCAACTGCTATTCCTCTTATTTTCTTTAATAGAACCTCTAATACTATTATAAACAACATTGGGGATAGGGGGCATCCTTGTCTTGTACCTTTGAATACACTAATTTCTTCTCCAAACTCTCCATTAAAAATAATTTTTGCCTTCTGTTGGTTATATATTGCATTTATGCCTTTTTGGAATTTTTCGCCTAGACTCAATTCTTTTAATAGTTTGAGTAGCAGTTCATTTCAATCTAAAAGGATTATAAGGTATCTGACATAAATGGTTAAAATGATTAGCTGCTCAGCTGCCTAAAAGTCCACCTCTGTTCCAAAAGCCAAGCTCCCTGCAGAGAACACCCTAGAAGCTCTGCTCTTAGAGTATAAGTCCAGGAGAACTTCTCCAACACCAAACAGGAATGCTCTCAAAACCCAAGTTGGTCAAACATTCCACCTTTGGCCAGGTACAGAACCTGCAGAGTGCGCCAGATTGTTTCTTCAATCTTATGCTACTGCAGGTAGCAGTTGAAGAAAATGAGGGAAGGATGAAACTGAAAAGGAATTTTTATATGATACAAGTAGGATCTAGCACCTGTTTACCCAATTCTCAACTTCCAATCCCACTTTCAGCCAGCCTTTGGTCCAGGCTTTGCCCAGGCCTTAACCCCACCAATGAAGTCATAACGAGGTATGCATGATAATGGCACCCCATTCCCATAGCAACATCACATGTCACAAAAGAAGATTTTCAACTTCACTGCAAAGCTGGGCAGCAAAAGAAGCTTGTCAAATGGGCTGTAGTGGGGAACTACCAGTAAAGCAGCTAAGACAGCTCTGCTTCACTCAGGATGACTGCAAAGCTCTTCCTGGAAAATTTCAACTATCATTCCCACCACAAACTTACATAATGTCTAAGGAATGGCTGCAAATCTTTAACAATCTAGCCCAGATCCACTTCCCTCTCAATCCTCCTAGTTACTTTTCCCTGCTCTTGAACCTCTTATTCCACTACTCTCTACAGCTTTAAGATCATTTGCTCCTGAATTCTTCCTGTTCTCCCTTGGTGCCGCCTCTGCCTGTGAATTGTCTACGAAGTACCACTCATCTTTCTTTCTTTCAAAACTCCCCCAAACCCAGATTTCCCTAAACTGTTTGAGCTCAAGCTAGTCCTCGACTCCCAACCACACCCATCTAAGTGCTATGTACAACTGCATTTTCTCACCCCTCGTCACCCTCCTGCTTCTGTCTCCTATCAAAACTTAAGACTGGTGTTTTTAGAAAGGCCAACACCCACCCTAAGTCCTTGAAGACACAGAGAGCTATAAACCTATCTAATCATTCTCACTGAAGGTCAGTAGCCTTGGCTGCTCAAGCCTTTACCAAAATTGACTCAGGAAGCACAGCAGAGCCGGGTCCAAACTTCAGCTATGGCTTTCCAGTCTCCTGTTAACTATGTCGCCACTTTGTGCTTCCTACCTCACTAATCATCTCCGCTGAGTAATTGCTGGAAACCCAGATGTCTAAAACTCGGCCTTGCATTGCTGAGTCAGACTCAATAGCAGACAGAAGGCGGGGGGGAGCTAATGTGTATATGGATTAGACAAATGCAGCAGTGTTTTTATCCCAATTCACATCCCAATAAAGGGAAGCCCAAGCAGCAGGACTTGTGGGAAAAGAAATGTGGGTGTGCTGGGGGTCAGCAGGACAGAGAAATTCACCCGCACAGAACTATACAAAATGTTAGAAACAGCCCACATCACTTAAAAAAATATTATTATGCCAAATGTGAAAGAATCAAGCTGCATCAGAGGTTTACCTGGGGTTTTTTTTGGGGGGGGGATTTCTTCCCCAATCACCCTAATGCTGAGAACATTCACCTTTTTGGCACCTGTCTGCAGATATCAGGTGTATTTTGATGGAACCACTGTTTTTTAAATGGGTCTCTTTCTTTAGATCAGTCATACAGGTGATGCTAGTCAATTGACCATCATGTAGCCTAGCCCAGCCAGCATCAAGGCAGTATGCAAAACAACTGGACTATGTGCAGAGGTCACGGAGAGCAAACAAAGCAGCAGTAGGTTCACTCTCAGGATCCATTCCGTGCATGGAATAGATTCTGCTCCTTCACGACACAGTAACATCCTGTGCCTACAGCTCAGAGGTTGCAAAGTACACACTTAGAGCTCAAGAACTTAGTCAAGAGCTGGAGTATACATTATAGTTTGATGGCAAAACACACTGTCTACCTTCCCCTACATGTCTCCTACACTGGCATTCCTTCCCAACTTGGAATCAGATGTGCACACCAGTCTAGAAACTGGGCCCAAATTCATCCAGCAATCTCCTTGCTTGCAGTCTTTGCTTCCATCTTGACTAGTGATATCCTAAGCCCTGCTAGGCTCTGTGGAAATTCCAAGTTCCCAAACAGCTGCTCCCCGTAAATATGGAATCTGACAGTACTACTGTTGAGGGGGACAGTGGAGAATTGCTAAGGCACTGCAAAGGAAGGGAGAATAAACACACAGATCTCCAGTTCTCTTAAATTATATACCCAGCGGGTGTCTTTAAGGGACCTCTCTGACAAAATCCTGTACTATCCAATACAGAGCTCCCATCACCCATTAAGAGACTGGCTCACAAGTTAAATTTGGCAAGCTGGCGGCAGAGTGCGACAGAGTGCTTGTCATCTTTGGCTCCTGGTGCCAAGGGAAGTATGAGGAGCCAGTGAGCAGTTTGCAGCAGACACCACCTGGCAGACATCATCGGCTTAAAATGCAGACTCCTCCATGCAAACTAAGTCCAGGATTCAGCAGGAGTATTTTGTGATGGTCTCACTCTGTGCCAAGCATGCAGCAGTCACTAGGGAATGACTAACTAGATTTCCCCCTTGCTCATTTCTCTGGATTGAGAGAAACTCTCAGCTCTGTTCAAGCCTGCCTTCTCCTGACATACTCAATATGCAAAGACCATCACACCTTCAGAAGACACATGCCCAGTTTAGATCCCGTTTCATGTGTCTGAATCCCACAAATCCCTGTTTTATTTATTTTTAGATGCTTTCATGCTGTTGTTTAATTGGTTTTAGGCTGTATTTTGTTTTAACAGCATTGTTTCTTTTCACCACTTAGATCGTTTTCAAATACTAAGCTGTTGATAAACGCTTTTCTAAAATAAATAAGGGCACAGAAACCCCTCTCAGACTACCCTCCATACATTCAGATAATGTGTTATGGGAAGATCTGAATCATGTCATTCAATTATT